AGATATTAGTCACAACCCAAATACTAAAAATAGGAAAATATTTTTTAAATATTATTGTAAATTCATAAGTCACACATGTCATTATAAAAGTGAAATCAGGGGCTTTGGAGATGGCTCAGTTCATAAACTGCCTGCTGCACAAGCATGCAGACCTAAGCTCGAATCCTCAAAACTCACATACAAAGCCCTGCATGGTGGTACATGCCTGTAACCCTAGCACTGAAGGTGGGGGACAAATCCCTGAAGCTCATTAGCCAGCCAGCCCAGTCAAACTGATGAGCCTTAGGTTCAATGAAAGGCCCTGTCTCAAAACATAAATGTGGAGATATCAAGGAAAGACACCCAACGTCAATCTCTGGCCTCCACATCCACCACAACAAGTACATATACCACACACATAACATACATATATACATAAACACACTGTACCTCCCCAAAAGTGAAAACAAAGATTATTTTGGCATGAGAAAACAGTTACGTAAAGTTAAAATACAGTAATATCAGAATTGGAGCGATTGCTCAGCAGTTAAGAGTGCTGGCTGCTCTTACAGAGGACCTGGGTTCGATTCCCAGTACCCACATGGTGGCTAACAACCATCTGTAACTCCAGTTCCAGGGAAATCTGAAGGCTTCTTCTCACCTCCATGGACATTGCACAGCATGGGTGCACTTACACACATGCAGGCAATACACTCATACACATTAAAAAATAATAATAGGCTGGGCGTGGTGGCGCACACCTTTAATCCAGCACTTGGGAGGCAGAGGTAGGCAGATCTCTGTGAGTTCAAGGCCCATGGGGGTCAGATGAAGGCATTGGATTCCTTTGGAACTGGGGATTAGTTGTAATCATATTACTTTATTATTTGATGGCTTGTTCATAAAATTAAAGAACTCCAATCTAATAAGATCAGCCACTAGATTTTTGACCACCCCAGGTGTATTTCAAAAGCTCTGCTTTCTTGTTCATGTTCTCTTGTTCTTTCCCTCTTCTTCTCTCTGAGATAGGGACTCACTATGTAGCCCTAACTGGCCTTGTACCTGCTATGCAGCTTCAAACTCCCAGCAACCCTCCTGCCTCAGCCTTCTAAGTGCTAGGATTACAAGCATGTACCACCATGTCTTGTTGAAAGTTTCATTCTTGACATAACAGAACTTAACACAAATCTATGCTCTAGAACTCTGGACCCAAGGATTTTTCAAGCTAATATCATTAATTATATTACATCATTAATTGCCATTCTTAAGAGTGAATTCTCTTTATAAGATGCATCTCTGGATTATGAAGGACAGAACATGTTGTCACAGCACCACTAATTTCTGAAAGAGACCAGACAACTAAGAAAAATAACTTTTCTTTTCTTACAACAGTGTTTACAAAATGTGGTCGAAGAGGGTTACTAAATAAAGGAGCTGGAGAGATATGGCTCAGTGGGTAAAATGCTTTCCACGTAAACACAAGGACCAAATTAAGATCCCCAGCACCTATGCATGTAAAAACCAGGTGTGGCACTATGCATCTTTAACTTCAGCGCTTACATGAGGACAGAAAGAAACAGATTCACAGAACTCTCTGGTCAGCTGTCTAGCCTAATCAATAACCTCTAAGTTCAGTGAAGAGACTCTGTCTTAAAAAGCAAAGTGGAGAGCAATAGAAAAAGGCAAACAATGTCAACCTCTGGCCTCCAACATCTGGCACATCTGGGGAGGCAGAGGCAGGTGGATCTCTGTGAGTTCAAGGCCAGCCTGGTCTACATATTGAGTTCCAGGATAGCCTGGGCTACTGGGAGACCCTGTCTCAAAAAGACAAAAAAAAAATCAGAAGAAAAGGGGAAAAAAGTAAGATTTAAGCTTTCATACGTAACACAATTTAGCCATGTTAGACACAGACTAAAACAGGAACCTAAATTCCCAAAATGGAGAGTAGTTTTATTAGAGAAAGCCACCTGAAACAAAATTAGAAATATACCATTATGAAGGGGAGGATAAACTGGGAAACTATTTGTGCTTATGTCATAAAGGACTAGTTCCCCTTATATATAAAGGGGAACACAAATCACTTGGGAAAAAAGAAGAGAAATATTTAAAAAGAAAAAATGACCAACATTTAAACAGACAAAAGTAAATACAGATGGATCTTAGCTATGTAGAAATATTTAACTTCACAAATACTAGGGAAAATACAAATTAGAACTACACCAAGGAGCTGGTAAGATGGCTCAGCAGGTAAAGGTACTTGCCACCAAACCTGGCAACTTGAGTTTCATCCCCAGGACCCAAAAGGTAGAGGGAGAGAACCAACTCCCTAGTTGCCCTCTGACCTCCACTCCCATGCCATGTCACATGCTCACATGCACATACATACATACACACACACACACACACACACACACACACACACACATAAGCAGACACACAAAATAAGTAAATAAAATGTAATAAAGTTTTTTTAAGCTACACTGAGATTTTTCATCTCTCATACTGGCAAATATATCAATAAGTCTGAATACCAGGTTTGAGGCATTAGTATTCATATACCAATGATGGAAAAGAAATGTATACAATATCTAAAGAGGCCAATCTGGTAGCAACATAATTGTAAATGCAAGCATCCTTCCATCCATGAATTAAATCTATATGAAATTATTCTATATCTCTCATATGGATAAACTGTCCTCTGTTGAAGAATAATTAATGTAGTAGTACTTGTATTAGGAAAGTATTAGAAACAACCTACATGTTCATGAAGAAGCCACTGGATAAAATAAACTGGCTTATCCAATATGATATATTCCACATCTCCAAATAAAGAAGAAAACTAAATTCTTTATGCCTATTGTTATGGAATGATCTCAGAGTTATTAAATTAAAAGGACAGGGTAATGTGCAAACTATC